TTCTCGGACGGGGAAAAGCGGCACTCGACATCTATTAAACAACACCAAGAACAAAGCCATACCATGCCCTCGGGAGAAAGTAGTGATGATTTCCATGAATGCTGCCCTCGAGGACGTGTACAAGAAGGTCTTTTCCAATTCCTATCAACATGGTGCCCCTCTACTGAGAGGGGCGTGAAAACGCCGTGGAGACTTTGACCGTAGGGTAATAGACATTTTTTTTGAGGCTGGTATAAGATACCAGGATGAACGCTTTTTTCGTTCGCTATGTGCTGACTGGATGCGTACTCGCGTGATTGATCGATGGACGGGGGAATTTCGTGAATGACGAGACCGGCCTAACTAAAGTCAAGGCCCTCTCTTGATGGCGAATCTTGATTGACTGACACTAGGAACCGATTCGGAGAAAGAAGAAGCATGGCATGAGATACGCGGCGGAAAAATTTCCGATAGCGAATTACTTGACTCGATGGATAGGGGGAGGGACCTCCAACTCAAGCACGAAATCAATGTTGAGTCAACAATCATCGAGAGGGGCACCACCAAGCGAGATCGAGACCAGCACCTTGTATAGGTTGGGGAAAAACAAAGCCCTTAGGGGGCCTTGCGCCTGCGCTTCCTCAAATATCCCAATAAATAAAGAAAGGTAGGGGCTTCAAAGCTTGACTAAGAAGCGCGAAACTTGACTTTGAGAAAGAAGGGGGCGCCCTAGCTGCAATCTTTCTAAAGCGCCAACGAGCAAGAAAGGGCCCCTTACTATACTATAGTAGGGCGTTAGTGCTTTAGAAAGATTGCAGGGCACTAGCTTACTAATAATATAGGGCTTTTTCAGCTTGATCGGAATCGATTCTATGATTGAATAGCAGAAGTGCTACTTAGTAGTAGAAACTCAGAGAGACAAACAGAGAGGGGACTCTATCATACCTGCTAACTCCTAGGATGAGAGGGAGGTCCCTTGTTTTTGGCAGGAATAGTTCAAGTCTTTGTTGCCCCTCGGTAGAGTGAGTCTACTTAGCGAACTGGCAGGACGCGGAGATCGATTGATCAATATGAATCTCGAGAGTGGATGGTTGACCGCCGCCCCCTTGTCCTGGAGGCTCTCCGGCCGGAGAGGGGCTTGCTATCGTAACCTTTTTTCCCGGTGTATGTGAAAAAAAAAAGAGTGACGAACCCGGTCATAGGTTGGGCCAAAGAACGAGAGTCGGCTTCCTTAAGGGAGTTCTTCCTCAGTAGCTCAGTGGTAGAGCGGTCGGCTGTTAACTGACTGGTCGTAGGTTCAAATCCTACTTGGGGAGAATTTTGAGTTATCGCTTTTCTGACCTAGCGACCCCTGTTTTTCTCTTTAGTTTCTAAACTAGCAGAATCGTGGGACATCAAAAGTGGGAAGTTGATTGTAGGTTTTTATTCCTCACTCTCGTATAGGTGAACTTGGTTCGTTCAATTCTTAGGGAAAAGGAAGGATCCACTGTGAATGAATGGGAAGACTGGAGTAGTATCTTCATTAGCCGGAAGGAATTTGTCTCCACTAGCGTCATTCGAAGAACGAACAAGAAAAGGCTTACTGTTTAGGTAGGATAGATGGATGTAGTCCAATGGCTAAAGCTCTGCCAGCTTCTTGTAGACTGAACTCTCTTTAGGTTCCGAGTTGTTTTTTTGGTCTAATTTTTCTTCGCCACTAGTACCAACGAAGTTCTTGGTTATTTTCAAGGAGGAAGGAAGATCTCCACTCATTTCATTCATTCAGGCGAGGCGCGACCCACAACAAACAAAGGCAACGAAGTTGCTTGCTGTAGCCCTCTTTTAGTAGACTAGGCTGAGTAAGCGTAAGCTATTTAAGTAGGCTCGAGAAGGGTAGGCTCGCAGCTTCGCCAGAAGCGACTAGTCGCCTCCTTTCCTCCGCCGAAAGATGCTTAGCCAGAAGCGACGAAGGGGGGCTTGGGAAGGCCGACGACTACATGACATGAGGGAGAAGCTGTCGTAGAAGCTTTGCCCCTTGCTTTACAGAGATTGTTATGAACTGACTAAATGACTAGATTCTCCCGGAACGCTAGCTAAGCTAATAAATAGTATTAGTTCCCTTCAATCAAATCAATAAGCTTTTTGATTGATTCAAGGCGCCGCCCTCTTTCTTAGAACCCAGAGAGGGGGGCCTTGGCCCGGGAAGGGGAGAGTGGCCGAGTGGTCAAAAGCGACAGACTGTAAATCTGTTGAAGTTTTTCTACGTAGGTTCGAATCCTGCCTCTCCCACTTTTTTGTTGTAGACTTCAGAGAAGAGAAAGGAGGCATTCGTCAGCGTAGGAAGGCCCACCGAGCGAAGCTCTTTCTCTTTTTTGGGCCGTGAAGTGAAATTGTATCGTATGTTAGTTAGAGAGGTTGGCGAACTACTACGATCTATAGATTCCCCATCTATATCCAATCCCAACGAGAATAGAAGCGAGTCGCTTCCGGCTTGGCTTGTAGTCGTAGTCTTTTAGTTTTAGCTTATGTAGTGGTCGGCCTTCCTACACGCACGCGCCCGCCAGAATGCCTCCTTGGTTCTGGACGAAGCCAGGCCGATACATACGATAGGCGAAGGAAAGACCCCCATTTAATAGCGCCTGGGGAACGCAAGTTTGATCGAGGATTGGAGAGGAGAGGTGGAAGAAAAGGCTCGGGATGGATTTAGGAGTCTTTGTGCGAGCCGTATGCGGTGAGAGTCGCACGTACGGTTTTTAGGGGGGTTCGCGTCTATACGTGTAGTGTGGTGGTTGGGCCTACCCACCCTATTTGTTCCATGATCTATGGGTCTACTGGAGCTACCCACTTCGATCAATTAGCCAAGATTTTGACCGGATACGAAATCACTGGTGCTCGATCTAGTGGTCTTTTTATGGGGATTCTTTCTATCGCTGTAGGATTCCTATTCAAGATCACTGCAGTTCCTTTTCGGGCGGCTGTAGGACGGACGGCCGCCTATAGGTGGTAGGGTAGGGTGGGTGGTACCGTTCAGATTGCGGCCAATCTTCCTAACCGCGCGCGGGCCGGGCTTAGAGCGCGTGAAACTCATCACTACCTCGTAAGGGCATTGAGACCATAGCATGTGACACGAAAGCGTCGCTTTTTCTGTAGTGTTGTCACAAAGCTGCCCGCCTAGAAGGGCCACTCGCTCTGTAGTGTTGTCACACAAGATAAGCACACCGCCCGCCTGCTGGCCGGGCGAATCGAAGTTCTCTTCCGGTCAACTGTCCACCCAGTCAAGTGCAAAAAACACAGTAGAATCACGCAACGCACGCTGCTGGTGTGCTTCCTGCCCGCGAGGAAAGAAAGAAGAGCGACAAAGGTTAGTTCAGATTTGACTGTTTGCAGCATGGGAGCGGATTACCCAAAAAATCCCTGGGAACAATGAAAAAAAGATATCTCGGTAACGAAAACTATAGGGGGCTGTATTGGCGAGATCCAACGGTGAACAGCTGCCCAAAAGAAAGACCGCCTGGAAGTCCGAGGACCTTTAGTACCGTACCCTGCCCCCGAACCAGCAGCCTTCGCGCCAAGCAAGACCGCTCTTGCCCCTTTCCTTTCTCCATTCCGCCTCTTTCTTTGCTTTGTTCCAATAGAGTCTAAGGCAAAGCAAAAGTGGTTCATATGCCTACTTTACCTACTTGACGAAAGGGAACGAACTTTGTTTCGTTTCCGGGTTTATGGATTGGATTCAGTCAGCGTTACGACATAATCAAAAGGAAGGAGTGAAGCTTGGGTTACCGGCGAACGCTTCCAAAGGCGACCCTTTCGAGTTTCCGGCTGTTTCCTAGATTGAAGTAGCCTTTCGTCGCCCTACCAAACGAAAGAAGTCACTATCAAAGAGCTCGCCCTACCTTTGGTAGGCCTTTGGTGCGCGGAGCCCGGTGACTAAGAAAGAAATTGGTTTGCGCTTGAATTTCAGTGATGAGGTCGCAAAGAGGGAAGTAGGGCTCCTATTGACTAAAGGTTGTTTCTTCGGTTTCCTTTAGAATGAAAGTAGCTATGAAGCCCCTCCCCTACTACTTATTTTGTTTGATTCAAAAGGGGAACAGCCCACCCCAACTAGTCGTATGGGGTGGGATGCTTGTGGTAAGCTGCCTTGGATATGAGGAATTCCTAAAAAAAAAGGCAAAGTCGGGTATTTGACGAAGATCTTCCTATCAATAGATAGGGATTTTTGTTCGATATAGGGGACAGTTATGGACACTGCTCTTTCTCTCTCAATTTTTTTTAGAGAGAGCAGATATAACGATATAAAATAAAATCTTTTGATGATAAAAAAAGAAAAGGATACATAGACATCTAAAGGGATGTCTATTCTATTCCTCTTTTTGTTTAGAGAAAAAAAGATATCTCGTTCATCTATCTTTTGTCTATCTATCATTGATTCTATCTATGAATCAAGTCGAAAGACTTTGTTTTGGGGTTCCCCGAAGCCCCTGGATCGTTTCTGCCAACGAAATGAACGCGGAGCCCGTTCCGAATGCTTTTCTGATCTGGAAGTTAAGTTCTCGCGAAAAGAATAAGATGCTGCTCTCCCTCCCTCTGTCTTTTCTCGCTTTGCTAATCTTCCCCTCTAACGCGGGCCGGGCGGCGGCGGGCGCGGGAGGAAGAAACCTAAGAGAAGAGTGTTTTCTCTTAGGTCCTTCTTTTTTCAGTGCAACACAGGAAAGAAAAACCTTTTGTCATCCCTGCAGCTTTCCAGATTTTGTATTTTTCGCATGGCGTAGCTAGGACCTTCAAATCATGTTTGAAGCCTATGTTCAAAACCACCCCCTATTTATTTGAATAAGGCTGGAAAGAATGCCCGTCAAGTTCAGATAAGGGAATGCTTTTCCCAACCATTAAAGGAAAGGCTCGACGAAGGAGGGGGATGCGGCGGGGGAAGGAAAAGACTTTCGGGGATCGATATTTTATTTGTTTTTCATCGAAAACGAAGAAGACCGAGGATGGTCTACGGTGCGTGTTATCTGAAGGGAACACGCTTTTTCGACCGCGGTGGTATGATTGCCGGACCCTCTCCTCGTTCCGCCCGCTGGCCTATTGGGATAGCAGCCTTCGGGCTTTGCCTGCCCCTTCAAATTAGAATAAAGAATTCCGGCTCGGCCCGGGAAAGCGCTGGCAACAACAGAAAGGAAGGGGTCCATGTAGCTGCTGCGCCCGCCCCCTTCTTAGTCAATGGGGCAGCAGGTTCGGCATCGACTAGAAAAGAGAGAATCCACTTCAGATAACCACGCCTCTTCTAGGCAGCGTGTGGAATGGCCGAGAGCGGACCTTTTTGGATATATAATCCAAGTCGAGAGTGGAGTTACGGGAACAGCCGTCTGATGGAAAACTACTTTCACGTTCGGTTCAGAGAGCACTTTTTTCGTTGAAAATTCCTCGTTCCCTTTCGTGTGAATTCCCCAGCGGCGAATTCAAAACTTGTGGGGCCCTATCTATTCCATCTCTCGAGCCCCGAATCAAACCCCCTCCCCTTCGGACTCCCTCTTTCTTTTGACTCTATATATGTGGGCACCTGATATCTATGAGGGTTCACCCACCCCGGTTACAGCATTCCTTTCTATTGCGCCTAAAATCTCTATTTCTGCTAATATTTCACGTGTTTCTATTTATGGTTCCTATGGAGCTACATTGCAACAAATCTTCTTTTTCTGCAGCATTGCTTCTATGATCTTAGGAGCACTGGCCGCCATGGCCCAAACGAAAGTAAAAAGACCTCTAGCTCATAGTTCAATTGGACATGTAGGTTATATTCGTACTGGTTTCTCATGTGGAACCATAGAAGGAATTCAATCACTACTAATTGGTATCTTTATTTATGCATTAATGACGATAGATGCATTCGCCATAGTTTCAGCATTACGGCAAACCCGTGTCAAATATATAGCGGATTTGGGCGCTCTAGCCAAAACGAATCCTATTTCGGCTATTACCTTCTCCATTACTATGTTCTCATACGCAGGAATACCCCCGTTAGCCGGCTTTTGTAGCAAATTCTGTTGTTCTTCGCCGCTTTGGGTTGTGGGGGCTTGATGCGTTTACTTCTAACCCATTTAATGTAAATAATTTCGTGCGAACGTCATGAACAAATAGGTGGTCTTTCCGGAAATGTTAAACAAAAGTTTTTCCCTCGCATCTTGGTCACTTTTACTTTTTCGTTATTTCGTAATCTTCAGGGTATGATACCTTATAGCTTCACAGTTACAAGTCATTTTCTCATTACTTTGGGTCTCTCATTTTCTATTTTTATTGGCATTACTATAGTGGGCTTTCAAAAACATGGGCTTCATTTTTTAAGCTTCTTATTACCGGCAGGAGTCCCACTGCCGTTAGCGCCTTTTTTAGTACTCCTTGAGCTAATCTCTTATTGTTTTCGCGCATTAAGCTCAGGAATACGTTTATTTGCTAATATGATGGCCGGTCATAGTTTAGTAAAGATTTTAAGTGGGTTCGCTTGGACTATGCTATGTATGAATAATCTTTTCTATTTCATAGGAGATCCTGGTCCTTTATTTATAGTTCTTGCATTAACCGGTTTGGAATTAGGTGTAGCTATATCACAAGCTCATGTTTCTACGATCTCAATCTGTATTTACTTGAATGATGCTACAAATCTCCATCAAAGTGCTTATTTATAATTATAATTGAACAAAAGCGAGAAGCGAGTTGAAGGAATGGAAAGAAAGCTCCATATTAGCTCGAATTGCCTCTTACTACTCTTACCATTCACTTAAAAAACTTATCTAAGCACTTGACCGAGGAGAGTGAGGGGGAAGGAAGGCATTAGACTGTGTTTCATTCATTTATTAAGTACGCAATACGCAAGGGGGAAGAGAATGAAACGACTTCACTTAGTTCTGTTAGCCTAGTTTGAATGAAATGAACTAAGCCAGGTGCGGAAGGGAAGCCGGAAGCTGTGATGGCTAGGAATTCTGTATTAGATCCCTCATCTCATTCTGAAGTCAAGTAAGGAGTCCTAGTTCAGAGGCACAGTACATGGATCGGAACTCTCAGTCGAATGATTGGATTTCCTGGGGCATTAGGTACGGATATAGAAAGTGTGCAGCGGACTCATTAGCCTATTTTGAATTCGAGTAGTTCACTTCTAGGGTTCGGTGCTAGGGTGCCTGATTCAACTCTGCTTTGAAGCATGAAATTCAGTCATACAGGTGCGGAACGGGTAATCAAAGTCATCTCCTGTCTGGGGTTTCGTGTATCAATGCTTCTAGATTAGTGTTCAGGATGCTTGACTGACCGACTTCTTTCAGCAGGGTCACCTATCTTTATCTTTCATCTTCTATCGACCACCCGTGCACGCTTCCTTTAGCGAGACTGAGAGATGGGTAGTAGCCCAGGAACTACTTCCTAACTACGGGGATCTTTTTTCAGGCCTCTCATTTTGTATCAGAATGAATCGGGCAACTCAATACACAGAGTCGATAACCACAAATTCAGAGGGAGTCTTTTAATACTCCCCGGGATTGGATCCTCTTGCCACGGAACTTCGAAAAGCATGGACTATACTTTTCAATTCTTATGTAATCCAATCCGATTTAGGTAAGGGTAAGATCTATGATCTATATATTTCGCTACTTATCTAAACTGGAATATTGAATATGGATCAACCAATAACGATTAGCCAGACTTCTTTTACGAGAAGAGTAGGGCTAGGGTCAAAGAGAACATAACGAAAAGAAAGAGAAGCTGATCTTCCCGCAATAAATTCAAAAGCGGCAACCATCACTTCTCTTATGAGCCGGATCTACTCCTCAATATGAATCCAGAGCCGATACCTTTACCTTTATTGGATCTTTGCACCGATGCTGATCTACTCTACTATTCGATTTATTCACGCACGTCAAGCGTGAAGCGACCTGAAGATAAGGACTACAAGCGGATCGTATGCTTCACCCGACTGAAACATGTTCCTCGGGAATAGAAGCTCACTGAGAAAGGATCTGTTACATTAACTGGGAAAGGGAAAAAGGAGAAAAGCCGAAGCGGAATAATCAAATAACAATGCGGATTGACTTGATCTTTCTCCCTCTCTGTCTGTCAGAAGCGAAATTACTTTCTTGGCCACTGCATCAGCTCGATGTCAAAAAGGCCTTTCTTCATGAAGACCTCCACGAATAGGTTTTTATGAGTCCCCCACCGGGTTTTCGAGCTCAGGGGGAGGAAGGGAAAGTTTGAAGGTGAAAAAAGGCGATATATGGTCTCAAGCAGTCTCCTCGGGCTTGGTTCGAGATATGAAGTTTGGTTATGACGAGGATAGATGGGTTTCCAGAGAAGCAATGCTGATCATTCCGTGTTCATAAAAAGGAGACAAGAAGAAAGGACTGTTCTCCTAGTGTACTCATCAGTTTAGAACTCTAAATTCACAAGTCAAATTCTGATATTAGTCAGAAAGGCAGCTAGTAAGCAAGTCGAGTAAGACAGCTATTATTAAGTCGAGCCAGCTTTCGCTAATACTTTTCAAAGACGAAAAGCCCACTCCGTCCGTAAGACAAACTAAAGCTAAAGGAGGCTGACTTGACCAGTCATCTCTTATGATATTTCGTTATTTAATAATTGAGTCTTGGAAATCCATAGTCATACTGGTCATAAACGATTATGTTCAACTTATCCTTTCTCGTCTCGGCTTTATCTTCATTTTTATTTTATTTGAAGTCTCTTCCTATCTGCCTTTGCATATTTTTTATTAACCAAGGGAGTTTCCTCTCATACAATGAAAGGCACTACTACTTAATTAGAGGCGGGAGTCGATACCTATTCGCTTTCCTGTAAAGGGACTTAGAAGAGCAAGGCAGGGAAGCTTCAGGGAAGGGTGCTTTCCCTTAGGCATATGAATATTCAAGAAAAACATGTACATGGAAGAAAGACCATGCCACTGGCAGACCATCATGGCACTGAAACATAACATAGCATAACGGCGAGCAGGAAATATGAATTATTGAAATGCCCACGTCCGACCGTGTCCCCTTCCCTTCGGGCACTCAGGAAGTCAGGTCGATTGGGGAGATTCTTTATTGCTGGAACATGCGTCCATATCACTGATAAAGGAACTACGGATGTCATTCTCTACATGTAATATAACTGGAAAGACCAGATCAACCGGCCGGCAGGCTCAATCGCACTCATCTATTGCTGCGGATTCGAGAACAGGCATAGAGGCCTTCGAAGAGAGATCTTATAAAGTCAAAATTGGCTCACACCTAAACGAAACGAAAAGAAGGTCGGATTCAGCCTTGATCTTCCTGCCCCTTACTATAAAGAAAAGGGGGAATATCGCCCGGAAAGGATCCATCCTCCTCATTCCTCCTCTTTACGCTACTATAGCTCGCGGAGGCATTCCTCTAACTGAAATCTCCTTCTCTCATCCGTCTCAGTCTTTACCCACAGGAGAAAGAGGGTCACTTCTATGGCCAAAGATCACATGCCAGTCATCCCCCTATCACTACAACCCAATCTGCTCAACTATCAACCACCTCCATGCTTACTCATATTGAATCAGTCTAGATCTTTAGATCTTCCAAGTAAGCTTCACTACGATAGGACTTTCCCCTTAGATGCATGTCCGCCTAACTTCACCCCAGTTGAAGACCCCACCTTTTCCTCATTCTCCCACGGGGCTTTTTCCGATTTGATATTGGGATTTCCCCTGGGATTCGACCTCACTGCGCCTAGTCAGAAGGGCATTCGCGGGCAGCTTTCGAGAAGGAATAAGCGGTCTTAGGCCTTGCCTTCAGTTCTTACGACTGTGAGTTGGATTTCCTATCAGACTAGAAGCAAGTCTAGCGAAGTCACCTCGGGATGAAATTCGTGTTGAGTGAACACCCGGTGAAATGGATTTAGGAAAGCACGTGCCATCCTCACCTTAATTAAATTAAGAAAGACCAGCCGAGATTTAGCTGTTGGAAGAATAGGACCAGCTATTGAAGAAGAAATTGACGTAGAAAGAGGCATTCAAGTATCCCCCTATGGCCAATGTGAAAGTGCACCACCTAGGGTAGAAGAATAAAATTCTATTTTACCTCCTACGGTCGTCACATGATTACCAGAGGTAATGGGAGACTTCAGTCAGCTCCCCCACCAATGAATGTTGGTGGCTTCTGTTCCAACTGAACTGGGAACAGTCAGGTGCCACCCATTGGACGCATGAGCCAATGTTCTACACACAGAAGGACTGCCCTACCAAAAAAGCTTGCTTCATTGGTTGATCGAAGCTCGTGCTTTCGATTTCCTGCTGCGCGAGAAAGTCTAAAATGCTCTACAAAGGGCTGCAAGATAAGGGAGCCACATCACGCGGACCGATCAAAAGCCGTTTTTCGTTAAGATCAATCGATTCCTAGACAAAACGCAGAAGAAGTTTCCCTCTATGCCGGTGCAGCGAGACAGGGAGATCGTATCGAAAAAACTGCTTTTCCTCTCCTCCCCAGGAGAAGGTTGAAGTAGAAGCGGATGAAAGCCTGGCTAGAGCGAATAGAAAAAGTGGATTGTTAAACTCACTGCCCGTCCTCCTTTTACCGGATGCTGATCTAGAAGCTAAAGCTAATCACCGGGCTCTAACCCTTTCAAAATAGAGGATTGATTGAGCCGTCGGATTCGAGTACCTCTTACCGGTTTGCTCATCGCATGCTGGTTATCAGAGTAGAAGCTACATCACTAATCGCGGATGTTTGGGCATCTTTAAGAGTTGAGTAGCTGCCCATCATCCCTTTCTTCAATGAGAGAGGACTCAACCCCCGTACGGTATGTTACGGTACGGCTCGGTATAGCAAGGGACGAAGTAGTGGATGTGATGACAAGGCATCTCCGATAGTTTGAAGGACCCCATCGTAAGGCTTTCAGTCAAATCGCTAAGGGGGAGAGAGAGGGAAAAGCCCTTACTTACTCAGCCTTTGATCCTTCGCGCTGGCTCTGCTATGACTCTTTGCGAACTCCTTGCCCGACTTTACCCGAAGCCTTCCCGGTGAACTTGCCCGATTTCAATTGTCATTATGAAGGGAAAAAGCTCTTGAAAGGGCGCCGATTGAACTCTTATTTATTATCGGACATCATCAAATCTCATTCATCTGATTCAAGTTGATGACTATACTATCTTTCTTCAATGTGGGTACCTGGTCGTTACACCTTGTCAGACTCTACCCCCAACAAAAATAGCTTGAAGAACTGTTGGGGCAGTAGCAGTCGTAAGGTAAGGCCCCCCACCACACTGAAAGTTATTTCCTCAATACAAGACAGGCACAGGTGCGGAGCAATCGAATAGGAATTCAGCCTGCTTTTCTCAATCACAGCCGTCCTGGTCCTATCTTTCCTACTCTTTCCCAACCAAAGAGAAGGATTTCTCTCCCTGGAAAGAATGGTGTCTCAGAAAGTTGTTGAATGCCTCAACTTCGGATGAGGACCAGCTAAACTATCTAATGATGATGATCAGACGTTGCTTCGGATGTGTATGAGAAAGAAGCTTCTCACAGATATTGACTTTTAGATAGATACCAGCATAGTATCTTAATTAGCAGTTTCTTGAACTTGGTTGCAGGTTGCACTCGTAAAGCGAGCGATAGCTTAAGAGAGCAGCGAAAGAAGCCCACGGAGCGGTGATATTTCCTGACTAGCAAGTGGAGGTCCAGGCTCTAATTCAGTCTCTGATGGCGTAGCTGATGTGTCATGCTAGGAAGCTGAGCTAGGGCATTTATTCTTTCTCAACGGAAGTGAAAACCCTCCTCTCCGCTTCTGTCAGCATAGAAGGAAGCTTGGGGGAAAGGTCTAAGTGCAAGCATTGAGTCAAACTGATTCAGGTATAGCAATGTAGTTCTTGTCTCCCTTTCCTACCTAGCGCACTAGAATAGGTAGCATGGGTCAGTAATTAAGTAGTATAGCTAGGTCTTTGAGAGCTGGGTTCGTTTGTCAGTCAGTCTCGGTAGTTCAGTCAGAGCGACATCCGTGGCATAGCTCAGTTCCTTGATGGATAGATGCTAGTGTCGCTAGATCAGTCTAGTTCGATCAGTTGACAGTGGAGTAGTTCCGTCATAGCATGGGTAGCTCAATCATTCAGTACAGAGATGAGAACGCTACAGACATTCCTTGAAGACGAAAAGAAGGTCATGGGCTTTTATTTGTATGCCAGGTCAGGACGAAGGGAAATAAACTAGCCTAAAGTTTGATCGCTGATCGAATGTGAAGTACGAAGCGAGAAAGTGGAAGTAGTGCCAGCGATAACCAAACCCCTCGACCAGCCACTATGTATCCATGGCCATTAGAGATGAGAAAGGGGCTACGGCAGTTCGTTATTCATACTCGTCATTTATATGGTTACAGATAGGAATGGGGTTGCTTGGAAATGGAGAAGCAAAACAACAGCCATTTTTTCTGTTGCCCAAAATCCCTAACTTCTTTTCCCGGGAAAGGGTTTAGATCTATATCAAAATAAATAGCCCTTGGTCAAGGTGACAGGATTCGAACCTATGGCCCTCTGTACCCAAAACAGATGCGCTGACCAGACTGCGCTACACCTCGTCTCACCCCCCCCGGAGCATATAGATCCACCCGATCGATGAAGACTTGAACCGAACTCGCCATTTCCATATGTATTGAAAGAAGCCCGGGAGAGATATATTGAGTGAAGTGAGCGAAGAGAATATCATGGTTTCGGGCTCCGACCGGGCGTGGTGTTCGTAGACGAAGAGATACCACGATCAAAATCCGGTGGATCGGGACCCAGGCAAAAACCTTTATGTCTATAGGGGCTGCATCCGCACACATGTCCGTCCCGGATGCCGTGTGATCGGATTGGAAGAGAATCAGGCCTTGCTTGATAAGGGGATTGCAGACTTTTTAGCCAGTTCCTTCTCCTTGTGTGTCTGCGAGGACAAAGGCAAGGGAAAACTCAGACATTCTTAGGCAGTCCCCTTCAAAGTAGTTTTCCTAAGAAAAGTGCGGATTTGCTGATCTATGAGTGACTAAGGTGGTCACCTAGAGAGTTGAGATGAAAAAAATGAATTGTTTCGGTCCCTATTGACTAATGGTCGGCTTGTGGTCGACTGCCTTCTTCTTCTCATTCTGACTTGACTTGTCATCGCTGTTGAGTTTGTGCCACTACTCTTTCTGGAATGGAGAACCGCCTCAAACCTTCAAAATTGCCAGCTTTGAAGGAATAGGAATTTGGTAAGAAGCAAGGACCGATTGGACATCGAAAGCTAAGCGACAAAGAGCAGGAATAGGTTTAGGAATAAGTAAGAAAGCAGCAAATCCTTACTCGAAGAGAGGGAGAGTTTGATCTAGTATGAGATCTAATTACAGCTGCTAGTTTCTTTACAGTGATAAGGACCTCAAAAAAGTCTTACATTACTTAATCCCCCTTCTTCTAGCCATCCAGTTGCAGTGAGAATTGCCAGCCATATAGTTTAAGAAAAAAGGTAATCTCCTCTAGTGTAAGTGCCAGTTTCCAGCCTTCTTCAGCCATGGATAATGGCAAAAACTGGACAGTATTCGAAGGAGATGAAGAAGATTCTGCCACTCTGCCAGAAATTGGTTTGGATGACTTACAGCCAACTATTTCTTGCATCAAACAGGGGAGAGGTCGGCCATGATTGCGCCCTTCGACGGATAGTTCGTCATCCGAAAATGTGATGATTTTTGGCGCCAGGTGATGAAATCATTTGACTCATTGTTTCGGGGGAAGTTTGTTCAGGCACATGCGCGTTTCGAAGCACTCAACTAAACGATTCCCGATGTGCTTCCAATGTAGAAAGTAGCTCGGGGTTCACTCAAAGTGCGCTACATTCATACTGAGCACCAGGTAGCGGATGTCTTCACCAAATCTCTGTCAACATCTCGCTTTGCCTTTTTGTTTTGCGTGGCAAGCTTCACATTGGAACCCCACGTTCAGCTTGAGGGGGCATGTTAGACATGTTTCTGTTGGAATTGATGGAGCGCTTTCTGGCTCAGCTGCAGCCTCATTATCAGAAGGTTCGTAATCTACTACCTCTTCTTCTAATTGCTGGCTTCTCGTTCCTTCAAACAAGTAAGATCACTATTGGAATTGAGTGTATTGTATAAGGACCCTTCTATTTTCTTTTTTCGGTATGCTGCTCCGCGAGCAAGGAGTGCCACGCACGAGCGGAGCGAAAACAAAGCAGTGGGAATTCTTCGTTGGGGGAAAATCCTTTGATTGCGTATTGAATATAGATCAATGTCTTTCTTGTTCCACTAGCTAGGACCAAATTCTCACATGTCCATTTCGTTATTACAACCTTCTTTTTTGATGTCAAAGACCAGAAGCTATTCGAAAATTATTATTGGATCTCGGTTGTTCTTAACAGCGATGGCTATTCATTTAAGTCTTCGGGTAGCACCACTAGATCTTCAACAAGGTGGAAATTCTCGTATTCCCTATGTACATGTTCCTGCGGCTCGGATGAGTATTCTTGTTTATATCGCTACGGCTATAAACACTTTCTTGTTCCTATTAACAAAACACCCCCTTTTTCTTCGCTCTTCCGGAACCGGTACAGAAATGGGTGCTTTTTTTACGTTGTTTACCTTAGTTACTGGAGGGTTTCGGGGAAGACCTATGTGGGGCACCTTTTGGGTGTGGGATGCTCGTTTAACCTCTGTATTCATCTCGTTCTTTATTTACCTGGGTGCACTGCGTTTTCAAAAGCTTCCTGTCGAACCGGCTTCTATTTCAATCTGTGCCCATTCCAATCTTGTCTAACTTTGCTAACTCCCCCT